CCTCGTCTGCAACTCCTGACTCCATTTCCGCGCAATTTCCAGAGGACTGCAAGCCGCAAAATTTACAAGTCAGTCTTGATCCGGGTTATCGAGTTTAGCTCCAACTAAAATACCCGAATTAGAATAAAAAGCAAAAAAGGCCATATCGATAAATGGGTACGAATCTTTCGTTTTAATTAACTTTCGTGGTGCTGGTTATCAAATTTTTAACCATGAGTTCCAAAAAAATATTTTTGCCCTTTCGCGACCAGAACAACGTAATCCAATGTTTTTGGTAGTTTTTCGTAGCTCTTACAAGCAAGTTGCAATTTTTGATGCCTGGGCTTTAAAAATCAATATTTTACAATTTTGCTAATTACGCAATGAAAGTAAGAGTGTTCAACTTTCTAAGGAAAGCAGTAAAAAACCAGTTTATTGCATTTTAAAAATCGAGGCTTCGCACATCAGCTCAATTTAGTCAACATTAATTAATTGATTAATTTCCGTAATTTTTGCGATCCATACAGGCCGGTCACAGGGTAGGGCCAGACACAATTTGCTTTGTCCAATCACGCAGTGTCGCTTTGATGCTTTATCGAGACACGTGCTAACAATCACAAATCGACGTGAAAAATGTAAAAAATTCACCTTTGAAGCCTACTTCACAAAGTTATTTTGGCATTTAGTGCAACTTTGAATGCCTAGCTTCATCACAAATTTCAGACCAAAATGCTGCTCGACTTCCTCAACTGCCCGAGGTGCAACAAGCCCTTTGAACCGGACTGGTCAAAATCGCGTACACCCGTGTGCGATGCAAACGGATTCAGCTGCAAGAAATGCGCCCAGAAGCAAAGCTATCGGCTCCATTTTGTCATGCTCATCCTCAAGCAGCCCGGACTAACTCTGACAAAGTCCGGTTGGGTGGCAATTGGACCGGTGATGACGTGGCAATGCAGAGAATGCAAGGCCTTCGTCTCTCCGACGTCCGGCCACTATTCTCGGGTGGAATGCTTGCATCCGGTCCGATGTGGTCCCTGGCCAATTATAACGGGCAGGAAATTCATTCGCTTCGGCAGCTGCAATCCCAAACCCTCATGCGGCAAAACGTGCTCCCAATGCAAAGACGGCTTGAAACCGCCCGAAAAATTTCAGGCTGAGGCTGATAAATTCATGGCAAAATATAGTCAACTGCGACGCATCATGTCAGCGCAAAGAAACGCCATCAGCGATACTTGCACGATGTGTTTGGAGCCATTTGGGAATGGGACCGCCATAATGGGAGCGAAGGAGACCTTCTGCAAAAAGTGCTACGACGAGTCGGTGGTTCAGAAGACAAGCGCTGGACTGGAGGCACGACTGGCACGGCATGTCCACGAGCAAATTGCGACCACGATTTCGCAGGTAGGTTGAGCTCGCAGGTCTTTTGGGAAATTGTAATTCTAAATCCGTGCAAAAATTAATATTACATTTTAGATGACGTCGAGACGGGATGAGTACGCTGACAACATACTGACCGGGGAATCGGCACCGAGCAACGCGGGCAAACCCGAAAAACACATTGAGGTAGCGCCATTGTCATTTTTTTGGGCTGAAGACTGGTTTACCCCTCCTCCCAACCCAAAAAGTTTTTAGCCATAATCCTTATCAGGACGGTCAGTTGGCTGCTCAAAACGTTCGCCATTGTCGAAGCTCTTAGGCCAGCTTATTTTCTTACGTCAAAAATTGGCAAAGTTTTAACCGCAATCAGATCTCAGGATTTCCTTTTGTTGATTTTTGCTGTCTAAATGTGGGTTTTCGGATCTCGGTTCTCCGTCGACTGGAATAGCTGGCAAGGGTACCAAAATGTAGCCCTTTATCTTTTGAGTCAGACTATAGTACGTTTGAGGCAAAATTTAACATATCCGAGTGAGAAACCGCGTAATCTACGCCTAGCGACCTAACAAGCCTTGTAACAATTTTCTAATCATGTTTGACGCCAGAAAACAATCTCGCCAAAATGGCAAACATTTCCAGAAACTTTAAGCACATTAATAGCCGGCAGGACTGAAAATTTGACGCTAGATTGGGGGCAAGCCAGACCCTTAAACATATTCCTGATAAAGATTAGCAAAATAAAAAACTAAACTTTCAGGAAAATCCTTCACATAGCCATGCGGACAATGCTAAACTGGTGGAGCTCGTGGAGGAAAGTTCGGCACTGCTCAAGCGGCTTCAAGCGGTTGCTTTGTCTCAGGAAAAATCGCTTGCGATGCCGGATTAAACTTCATCCATCTTCATATCCTCATCCCCCATGATCTTCCAAAGTTATTTTTCATTTCGGCAAAACCGTATCTCTTAAAATTTCGTGCTTTAAAATGAAATATTACTACTTCTTTATATTTGCATCTCCCCCCTAAATCTCCTCCTCAATTCCAAAATCTCAAAAATTGTCCCTTTCAGTACAAAACATTTTTCTCTCCATTCTGACTGATTTATTGTGCTGTAAATAAAAGAATTCATCTACCTGAATGAAAAATAACCGCTTTAAAGAATAGCCCAGGATGCGATAATATGGAAAAAAGATAAGAAAAATAATGATTCGATACACGCGACCCCTAGTTAAATTCGGCTGGATGATACCAATTGTCGTGCTACCTTGTCTGATTCTCCGGAATGAGTCAGATGTCTGAACCGAAACCATATTTTTGTTCGGAAAAATGGACTGTGCCGAGAGACGCTCACTGGGATCGATGGACAAATCAAAACATTTGAATGGCCAGTCGGAGATCGGATCACTTCACACTGACCAAGATATCGATGCGAATTTCTTTCGTTTCCACCGGCTGCATCTTAGAATGTCATTTAATGTGGATTTTTTTTACGGTTTCCTTTCTCTCTCTCTCTCTCTCTCTCTCTCTCTCTCTCGCTCTCTCTCTATATCACTTTCTCCAAATCTATCCATCTCTCTGTCTCTGTCTCTCTCTGTCCCTCTCTTTGTCTCTCTCTCTGCTCTCAACCTCTATCTTTCTCTCTCTCTCTCTCTCTCTCTCTCTCTCTCTCTCTCTCTCTCTCTCGCTCTATCTATCTTGCTCTATCCCCGCTCTCTCGCGTTCTCGCTCTCTCTCTCTCTCTCTCTCTCTCTCTCTCTCTCAGTCTTCCTCTCTCTCTCGCTTTCCGTGGTTCGTTTCTTTTTCCCAAAATTGTCTCTTGCCGAACGCTCTCATAACTGCAAACATGAGGGTATTTAGGCGAATGCTGCTCGACTTCCTGAATTGCACACTATGCGATAAGCCCTTCCACGCTGGCATCGGGAATTCACGTACGCCTGTGGCCGACAAAAATGGCACGTTGTCGTGCCGCAAATGTGCGGTCGAGAAGGAAAGCTTCCCAGCGAAATTCGTCATCAATTTGCTGAGGCAGCCCGGGCTGGCTTTCCGAAGAAACAACTGGGTTTTGCTCGGCGAATTACAGCCACTGAAATGTCCGGAGTGTCGAACGATCATCACCCCGGAATCCGGACATAGATCTCATCACCAAATCGTCTGCCACCATGAAATCCGTTTTTGTTTGGGCCCTGCGAAAAAAGGCGTGAAATACTTTGATATCGTCGGATGCGGAGGAGATGGTTCAGGACCGGAAGTTGCGCAAAAGTGCAAAATCTGTCAAGATCCCCTGGAACCTCCGATTGAAAAAGAGCTGAGCGCGATTGGCCTCGTCTCGAAGTACAATTATCTGGTGGCCAGAATCGTTCCGGTATTGCAAGCGATCAAGGAAACCAACAAGGTCAGCAACACTTGCATGAAATGCCTACAACCTTTTGGAACCGGGACGCTGATCGTCGGTGAAGATCAGACGCTTTGCAAAAAGTGCTACGATGAGAGCGAATCTGTGAAAAATTGTGTGATTTGCGTGGAGCGCCATTCTCGAATCCAGGAAAAGCACGAGCAAACAAAGATTCTGGAGTCAGAAGAGAGATGCGATGAAGCTACGGAAGACGTCAAGACGGCTTGCAGCGGATGCGGACGCGAATCCCTGACCTCGCGGCTGTTCTCGTGCTCAAACTGCAACGGGTCGATCCTTTGCGGCGCATGCTCGGTGCGTGAGCACCGGAATCATCTTTTGGTGGATCTGGGAGCCGTCAAACTCGCCAAGATAGAAGCCCAGACCTTGCGAGATGTTCATCAACATTACGACGGGCTGTGTAGGAATGTTGCGCACGTCCATGACCTGATTGCGGCCAATACGAAGCGGTTGGTTGCGGAAACGATTGAGCATCTCCAGGCGGGTTTTATTAGAAAACGATTAGAGCTTTAATTAAGAATATTATCAACTTTATTCACGAACAATTCTTTTTTTAGCTGATCTCAAAGCAGAAGGCGTATGCAAATGGGGTGCTGATTAGTGAAGCTTTGCGGAAGAAGGCCGATGAATTTGAGGGACACTTTGAGGTAACGCGCTTGATAGGTTCACCAGGTTTTTGCAAATTTTGAGGGCATTCCGGTCCGGATTTAACTTATTGCGGTGCACCATATTGTAGCCCATAAATTCTTCAATTTTTGGCGTTTCGGCACAAAAGAATTTCCACAAAGTAATTGAAACGAAATGAAATTGAGAATCAATAAAAATGAATTTAATCAAAAGTTCAAAAATTGGCTAAAAAACTAAAATTCTTTACCTTTAAATTTTAAACTATTCTTGCTAGGCGTTTCCTTTTTTTAAATCAACACTATTTTTTAGGAATATCTGCCCCATGCTAGCATCTACAACGACAAACTGATCGATTTGTCGGATGAGGGGAAAGCCCTGATGTCCAATTTCAACACCAAAACTGACGAGACCGAGGCCACGGATAGGCAAAATGCTATCAAGATCCCGTCGGCTCCACCGTGTGAGGGTTTGGAGAAAATTTACCCAGCCTTGATACAGCTCTGATAACTCCGTGCCAACCCCGTTTTTCAAAATGCGCATTTTTTTCTTGTTTCTCTCCCGCTCTGTCTCGCTCTCTCGCTCTCCCTCGCGCTCTCTCGTTCTCTCGCTCTCTCTCGCTCTCTCTCTTTCGCTCTCTCGCTCTCTCTCGCTCTCTCACCATTCCTCTCTATATATCTATCCCGCGTTTTCTCTCTGCCGCTCTCGCTGTCCCTCTCTCTCACACTTTATTTTTTCAGCTCATCTCTTTAGTTTTGGCTGGTTCGTTGTGGTCATGGAAATAAATAGTTTTTAGTCGATCACTTAATTCAGCCAAGCAAGTCAAGCCAAGGCATCAAAATAACAGGCCAAAGACAAACAAGGTTTTCAGCTTTCTTTAACTTATCACCTTTTAGAACTATCAACGGCAAGTAGCAGCCAACAAGAATCAAAAGCGGGCGTGGGCCAGGAATATTGTGCTAATAAAGTTATTTCGGTGTTCATTGCCTTGCGTGCGTGATAGGACTCACCGCCCGCACAGCCCCCGCTCATTGAAGGTGGTTTCCTGTTTTGGGTGCGTTTCTATGGCTGCGGTCGGGTCCAAAAAAATGCCGCCCACATCTGAAATGAATATATAAATAAGCCTTGAATTTTGTAACTATTTTAAACAGTATCGTCAAAAGCATTAACTAATATCCATCAATTACTGGGATTTTCAGAATTTTCGGAGGTTTCCGATTCGGTAGGTTTTGAAAACCTTTTGGAATTTTTGGGTTTTCCATTTTTCAAGTGATTTTTAATAATTGTTTTTTGATAGTTTTCTGGCTTGAAAAGTAATTTTTCAAGTGATGCTAGACAAGAACAGCTATCATATAAACCTTTCAGGGTAGCGGAAAATGATCCAATGTTGCTAAAATTCTATGTAATTTTTGACATAATTCCTGTAATTCCACCTTCCAGCTCCAAACCCAAGATGCTTCTCGACTTCTTCAACTGCACCAGCTGCCAGAAGCCTTTTGAAGCAAGGCTCGGAACCCCGAGGACTCCAACACATTTTGGCGACAAATTATGGTGTCGAAAATGCTGCTGTCGATATGGGCATCCGGCTAAATACCTTGTTGATCTCCTCGAGCAGCCAGGACTTGCAAGAACTAAAGCTGGATGGGTCGTGGTGGGACCTTTAAAACCTGTAGAGTGCCCCGATTGCAACGAAGTCATAGACGCCAAGTCGAAGCATGACGTCGGCCATATTTTGGCTTGCTGCCAAGCTAAATCCTCTGTGTTTGGTTTTCTGAATAAGGACCAAAGACAAGTCGAAATCATCGGATGCAAGAAAATGGACTCAATTACCGAAATGAACTGCAAATTCTGCGAACGATCATTGCGACCACTTCATGATTTCACCGAAGAAAATGTCATCTTCAAATTCAATGCTTTCATCAAAGAAAAATACCCGATTCTGGAGAAGCTGATGGACAACGTGGCTCTTAAGGAAAATTGCGATGAATGCAACAAGGAATTTGGGGCCGGAATTTTGGTTGCGAAAAATGGGAGCACATTTTGCAGTCCGTGCTATGATTTGAGAGGGATTCATCCTGAAATCTATCCTGATCACCCACCAAAATCTGAACATTGAACGTTGGCAAACGACTTCTGTGCAAATCAAATATAAACCTTCGTGTTTTTTTTATTGAATTTTTCATATGTAAGTGTGTTCATGGTAAACAACTTTTTTTTGCGAATACCGCGATAAATCTATAGCTTCCAAGCGACGCTAATTAGCGGAATGAGCGAAAAAATGAGCGCTATGCATGGTTAAACAAAAAACTTCTGGATCGCCGCCGCCTGAAAATTCCGGAAACGTTGGTTATCAGTTGATTTCATCGAAAACTCATACGATCTAGGGTAGCATGTGATAAAGCAAGCTTCTCTGCCGATAATCGGATCAAGGATTGCGTAAATAAATTCTGTCGGTGAATCTTATTTTGAGATGTAATTTGTGAAGCATTTACGTATCTACCAGAAAAGTGTTTTTTTTTTTAATTCGTAGGATCCATGGCGACGAAACTAAAATAATCATTTGCGCAGTGTGAGAATGGAAGCCATCCAATTCTAATACGGGAAACCGGTTTTCGGTTTCATCAGCTTTCCTCGGTTGCTATGGAGTCGGTAAAAAGAGTGCCACGTTGCTTTCAACCTAAACTCTGTTTGTGACGGCCATCTCGGCCATTTTGACCCCGTTTTTTCCAAAATATCACACACACCCTTGAACAATTTTCTCTCTCATTCATACTAAATTAGCAACTTTGTCATACCACCTCGTGCTTGTCTCAAAAACTCTAGAAAAAAATTCTGCTGCGCCCTTCGGCTCCGTTATTAATTTGCATAGTAGTTTTGGATTTAATCTTGCCTTTTCGATGACTGGACGAAATTCTTTGCACTTTTTTTTTGCAGGACCAGATGTTGTTGGAGTTCCTCAACTGCCCGAAATGCAAAAAGCCGTTCAAAGCCAAGTATGGGACCCGGCGAACCCCGGTGGCGGACCCGAAAACCGGCGAAGTTTACTGTAGGAGATGTTCCAGCGGATCGCCGGTCCAATATGTCATCGATTTGCTCAGACAACCCGGGCTCCTTCGCACCGACAACGGTTGGGTTGCTATCGGCACGCTGAAGCCCGCGGTATGCCCATATTGCCGCAAAAACATTGATCCACTGGCTCACCCCACGTTTCGACAATTGACTAGTAAGAACGGCAAACTTCCATACCTCCTGCGATCAATGCAAGGAGACCTTGGATCACGGGCTGACGATTATTGATGGAAGCTCGGTCGCGTGCAAGAGGTGCTACGACGATGGTGAGAAATATAAGAGATGTACGACATGCCGCCATGCCCCCCCTAGAACATCGCATCCCCTGCAACGAAATTCCGATCAGACGCGCCAGCATGCAAAAACGGAATGCCTTCATTCTCAATTTGAAACGGCGGCGCCTTCAGGCTGAAAAGACTCTGACGACGTCATGTAGTGGGTGTGGAACAGAACACGCCATGTCGGAACTGTTTTCATGCGTTGACTGCGGGGATTCAGTGTTGTGTGGCGGGTGCTCGGTGCGTGGGCACAAAACACACGAGTTGGTAGATTTCGGAGCGGCGAAATTGGCTGAAATGGGTGCGCAGACGCCGCACCACCTCGGGGAACGGTACGAGGGGCTGCGGGAATTGGTAGTGTACGTTAATCAGCAAATAGATTCCAATATGCAGCGGCTGATCCACGTGGCCATGCGGCATGCGGAGGTTGGTCGGTAACACTTATCTATAAGCATTCTCTATAAAGTGGTCAAGCAACAAGACTATTTTAGTTGATGGCCAGCCAGAAAACATATGCTGAAGGAGCGACCCTTCGGGAAATGCTGCTGCAGAAAGCTGACGAGTTCGAGAATCTCTTTGAGGTTTGACCAATTTAACTTCTAACGGAAGCGCGGGTTTAGCAAAATTAACCGACGGTAAAACTAGCCATAAAGGATCTAAAGTATACAGGGGCGTAGCCAAAAAAAATTTTGGGGGGGTGGGCGAAAAATTTGTTCCGAAAAACTCAAAAAATGTACGAGGAAACAGCGCCGCAGACGAAAAATTTTGGAAAAGGCAACATGGGGGGGGGGGCAAAGGGGCCCACCTTACGCTACGTCCCTGAAAGTATAGTAAGATCGACCAAAACCATTTTTTTTTCAGAAATACCTGCCCCACGCCCGGATCTACAACGACAAATTGATTGACCTGACTGAAGAGGACGAGATTCTGAAGCCATTGCTGTAATCCTCGTCTGATTTTGATCATTTTAGTCGTATTAATTATGAAAAGTGACCAGAGAATCACCGAGATCGATAGTTGGACCTTACAAGACATTACGATTTGTAATCCCCCCTCCCCCACTCAAAATGTCGTTTTCGCCCCACGAACTTTCCGGTTTTATTCAAATATCTTACGTTTTTTTCTCATTGAAATCAATTTTATGGTACTTCTCGACAGTAAACCTTTGGTTTTTTGACCAGTAGGTTCATTCCCCGCACGCACGAATTTTGACTTCCGAGTCCCTTTAAAGATTCCGAAAGCAACTCCTGAAAAGCCTCGATTGGATTTCCTATCCTTTACAATGATGTTTTGTTTTTCTACGCTTCTCTCTCTCTCGCCTGGTCCAAGACGTGTTTTCAGAATGTTCTGTTCTGCAACAATAAACTAATTTCTTTACGAAAATCTCAAAAAAGCGGAAATATTCGCAAGTACATGGGCTTGGTTAAAATAACGGTGAGCTTTTGATCACAAAACGGCGCGCTATTGACCCTCATTATTAGCGGATCAGCGGCCAACGCAAGAGTTCTAGCCTGTTCGCCGCCGTCGCCCCACATGCGAATCAACTATAGTTTTGCAAAATACGCTGATTTCCGGCCGATAGTTGTAACTTGCCTTCTTTTTGTCCCGTCTTCCAAACGCTATTTTTAGAGATGCGACTCGATT